CTTGCCCACACACTCCGGTGCAAGAGTTTATTTATATTTTCCATCAGCTCGTGGACAGAAAATAAATGAAAATTCCATAGAATCTTCGACAGGCATCACCAACTAATTAGGGTTGCCAGCTAAGACGGGCCGCAGCCTGTTTTGGCCCGTTGCCAACAACCTGTCGCAAAAAATCGCAAGCCAAAAAAAGTGGTAAAAAAAAAAGAGAAGGGTCACAAGTGAAAATAACAAATGGCTGACTGGAAAAGTAACTAATGAAAAGCAGTCGACTATCGAAATGGCAAGACTAGAAGATACCCCGAACAGAGTACGCCATTTAAATAGTTTACTTTCTTCTGCGTGGAGCACATATCTTGAATTGTGCATAAATGAATTGAAGATTGCCTTAAATGAGCTGCAGACCAGCTAGCTCCGAGATCAGCTAAACTATGCCCACCTGTACAAGACACAGTTCCAGGGTATACATAAACTAGAAACTAAAAACAACACTGTTAAAAAAATATAAAAAAAAAAGTAGGAAATTTTGTAAACCCACATGTGAGACAGAAAGGGGGGACAAACAGAAAGGCCGCCGGCAGGAAGTGGGTCAGCTGAGCTGGTGGCTGCGGTGGGGACGGCGCCGCATGTTGGCAACATGTCAAACATGTTAGGTAAACACTCACACACACACTCTCACACGCACACACGCACACCTACACAGAAAATGGCATACATGCATCAAAGTAATTAATATCCCTTCAAATGTTACATGCACTAATTACAACAACAACTTGAACAACAACTACAACAACGACAACAACAACAGCAGCAGCAGCAGCAGCAGCCGAGTAATATGAGACGAAATTATAAAACCAGGCTAACAACATCCCAGCTGGAAATTCGGTGCTCCCTTGGCTTGTCGGGCGCCCACTCGACGACCTTGGACATGTCAGCTCATGCTTGCCCAACGACCTAAATACCCAATTCAAAAGATCATTTGCTGTCAAGTGTGTGCACTTAAGAACTACCAAATGCTTGAACACAATGCCGCTGACATGTCCTGCAGTTGGTCATGCAAGACAGCCAACAAGACGAGTCATCAAGACAGTCATGCATGCAACAGAGAATTTCAGTTAACAATCAAGTGTCTGCACTTAAGACGCAGCAAATATTAATGCTTGAACACAATGCCGCTGACATGTCCTGCAGTTGGTCATGCAAGACGGCCAGCAAGACGGGTCATCAAGACAGTCTTGCATGCAATAGAGAATTTCAGTTAACAGCCAAGTGTCTGCACTTAAGAAGCAGCAAATATTAATGCTTAAAGACAATGCTGCTGACATGTCCTGCAGTTGGTCATGCAAGACAGCCAACAAGACGAGTCATCAAGACAGTCTTGCATGCAATAGAGAATTTCAGTTACCAAATTTCCAACTGGGCTGTGACGAAAATGTTGCTTGTTTTGCCTTTTTTGGCAAGGTCAGTTCAGCCTAGCAAATGTCAGCTCTGGCTGCTGTGCACTTTGTTGTGCACTGCCCCTTAGAACAGCCCACAGCACACATGGGGCATGCCCCCAAATGCAACGCTCACTTGGCTTAAAAACTCGTGTCACTCAAGCAAGCAAAAAAAGAAGAAGAAGAAAACAACTTTCAATTAGGCGCAACTGAGCAACCGCCATGAAGCTTGCCACATGCCACAGCAGCAGCAGCATTATCGCCGCTGAGATTGCATGGGGCGTTGCCACGCCTACATTATTAATTGAAGAGTCTCAGTGCATAAAAAAACATTTACATTTAATCAGCATTCTGCAATCTGCAATCAGCAATCAGCAGGCGGCTGCGACAACATTGCGTATACGTAACTTCGCATCACGCAGCGGCTCACATTGCGTATACGCGATGTTAATAACTGATTGCAGCCCGTCGTCCTCAAGGAGCAGCCGCCGCACCAGCCGCCGCAGCAGCAGCAGCAGCAGCCTCGCTTGTCGATTTAATTAATTTGTCATCATTTATTATGCCAAAATAAAAATGCAAGGGGTGCGTGGGGCAGGGGCTGAGATAGTGCGGGAGGGGTGGCAAACGTGCTGAAGAGCACAATGAAGAAATGTTGCAGTTGCATGGCAACGACTGCGCAATACCCTCTAATCAATAATAATAATATGGGCTAGATGACTCTTATAGTCTGCTTCCATACTGCTCAAAATATGTCACATTTACAAACTTCACATTCTGCGATTCCATTGGCAAGTGTCATTTGTCGGTTGATCGGTTTGAATTGATTGACCAAAGCGCCTAAAAAGATTTCCTTTCGAAAATCAAATAATTTGGACATCTATAAATGTTAACAAGTAAAAGGTTCTAGTCGGGAGCTCTCGACTAGGGGGATACCCTGAACCCACTTCTTCCTACACCAAATATTGTTCCCTTGGCAGGGTTCGAACTCGCAACTTACCGCACCACCACACCAATAATTGAGTTTAAATGAAAAAACAAACCAATTAAAACAGCAGCACAGAAAACAATGCAATCGCAATTGCAATGCTGTTGGTCGAATTTAAAGCAGACGCGCATGAATGTGTGTGTGTGTACATGTAAACAGAAATTCTTGGAATTTGCGCTGGCTGCTGCTAACACGGGTGCACATAACTTTTGTGTTTCTTAACCGATCTTAATGACATTTGCGACAGTACATCTTATTGTAGGATAGAATATAGAATATTTGAGTATTCTCAAAAAGTCAGTTGCATATAAATTGTGGCTTAAATTGATGGGTCAACGCAAAGCACACGAATCACTTGCAAAATTTTTTGCAAATGTGAAAAATGTGATTCCTTATAGGCGATATATTTCTCATTCGCAAAAAAATTAGGAAATGTTGCCACTAAGCTCGCATATCTTGATACGACTTTTAGGGGATTCGCTAACACTTGCCCTGAATCTATACTACATTAAAGGCTAGGTAGATGCAGCTAGCCAATATACCCCTTTGTTCCGTTTGTGTAGAGGGTATAATAAACTGCTGACTGCTGATGACGGCACAAATGTCAGCAGTTGTTGCAGTCTACGAGGCAATAATGCACCAGCAGCAGCAGCAACAAAAACAACACTTGGTGAAGAAATTGCTTTTTAACCAACACAAGCACGTAGAGGCAAAGCAGGAGGTGGGAGGGGGTTGGGGGGTGGGGATAGCGTGAGAGAGGGAGGCAATGTAAACTATAAGTGCGTGATTGGGTTGAGGGGCTGACAAAGTTCAGGTCAGAGTTTTCACCTGCCGCTGCTGCAGCTGCGGCGGCGGCGGCGGTTCTTAAGTGTTTGCAGCAGCCAGGACATGCACATGTGCCAGACAGACAGACAGCTGAAGAGTGCGGAGGGTGGGGAGGGGGGGGGGGGTCGGCACTTGGCAGGGGGGTTGCAGCCTGGCAAACGTTGACTCACGGCTGGCACACGGGTTTCAATTTACATTAACGTTGATTTTTTGTTAAATTGAGTTTGACTTTGGCCGTCGTTGCGACGACGACGACGACAGTAAAAGCAACAATTACAACAACAACAACAAACGGAGACAGCAGCAAAAATCAACATTGACACGAGACACAAATGGGTTATAAGAAGCGCAAAAAGAGAGCGCACTGAAGAAAGGCGAAGGGTCAGTCAAGGGACAAGCAGGAGCGGGTCAGGTTGGGCAGGGGCTAGAAAGCTATAGCCTAATTCCACTGTCAACATTTCTTACATTTTTAGCGAATGTGAAATATGTTACCTGCGCGTTTTCCCATAAGAAACCCAATATTTCACACTTGCACAAAATGTTGGTATTCGCCCCGAATAATTCGTGTCTTTTGCGATGATTTATCGAATTTCGTATCGATGTTATGGAAAATAAAAAAGTATCATTCCCACAAACAGCTGATATTACTTGACATTATAATTTTAAATTTTACTAATCCCCCATTTTATAACATTTAAAGTTGGCCAAATCCCGCAAAGAGCAGCTGCTTATTTAAAGAAGCGTTACTTCTGCCATTCACATGTTACCGACAGCAGACACTTGCCAATGGAATCGCAGAATGTGTAGTTTGTAAATGTAACATATTTTGAGCAAAGTGGAATCTGGCTATTAGCCTCATCAATAAGCAAATAAAATGCGAGAGGCGCCCAACAAAGCAGAACTCGAGTGCTCTAGTCGGGCTTGGCCGACTAGGAGATACCCTACGCCCAATTTCGACCAAACATTCTAGCTGGGCACTTTTTAAAGAGACTGCAAACAAGCGATGTGGAAAACATAAAATTGCAAATTGAATTTACTTTTAACAAACACAAATTTCCAACTTTATATTGTTGCAAATTGTTGCAACAATTTTTCCCGTTTTTTTTTCTGTGTGTGTTTTTTAATGTATCAAAGGAAATATTAATATAAAGTTCATTAGGAAATTTCTTTTCTCTCTCTTTTATTAAACCGATATTTGCAAAAATAAAATGAACAAACTCAAGAATGGCGAGCTCAACTAGGGGATACCCTGTAAGAAACATTCTAGCTGCCAAGCAGGCTGCGCTTTTTCTTTCCCTAGTCCTACCTTTGTTAAATTCATTCCTGATTCAACTTCGGTATACTCAATCCGATCTATATAAAATTCTCAGGTATTAAACATGACATACAAAAGTCTCTGTATACTAAAGTTCAAGGCTCTTCCTTGACAAACAGAGGATTTTCTGCCAATTTCAGGAAATTGGGGACAGTATCCAATAAGTGAAGGAATCTTTATCGGTGTATGCCATACCAGAGCCTACACAGAAAGTTTGGTTATGCTTTCAGCACCTTGCCTGAGGATCGATATTTAACGATATTTTCAAGAAAGCAGAGATATCGGGATGAAATTATGATATACTCCTTGAGTTAAGCTGAAAGCTCTACCTTGATTCTACCTGAAGCTCCACGTGAATCTACCTTGTGTGAAGACAAGACTGAGAGCGAATGGATTGTCGAGTGTCGAAATTAAGATATGGAAGATAATTAAAAATTATTTGGGCTTTAATATAATATAAGAATCTTAATCGTGGGACCGACTACTCCTCGAATGCGAATGAGTCATTGGTTGACAAGTAATATGAACGAAACGCAACACAACAAAAGTTGAAATCTTTCATAATAAACCGAACCGTTAACTGTTGTTCCTGGGCATGATCGAAAGATGCCGCCTCCTCTCTACGAGTATAGGCACATAAGATGCATTAGAGCTGGAATTTGGCTGTCCTGAACGGCGCCTCGTCGACCTCCAGCCTGGCATTTGTGATATTCTCCTCCAGCTGCTCAAAGTAGAGCGTCTCGATGGTCTGCAGGGCACCCAGCCAGATGGCACGCGACTTGCTGCAGTGCTCGTCGAATAGCTGGCGCAGCAGCTGGAAGCTGTGGTTGGCCAACAGCTTGCGGTGGGCCAGGTCGTGCTCCAGATTGGACTTCCAGGCGGGCAGCAAGCGCCGCTGGCAACAGCAGCTGTGGCACTTGGCCAGCATGCGGCTAAATCTGTTGCCCAGCTGCTGCTCCAGCTGTTTGTCCAGCAGCTCGATGCGCAGGCGCAGCTCCAGCTGATCCTCGTCCTCGTCGCGCAACAGCAGCGGCTCGAAGAGCCTGCTAAAAACGCGGCACGGCAGCCTGGCCAGCGGCTCGACCGCCAGCTGCAGCTCCTGGCGCCAGCGCAGGCAGCTGCGGCTGCACGGGCCGCCAGCCGGGCACAGGCTCGAGTCGGTGGCCGATCCGTCCGTGTCCCCGGGTTGCACATTGTTCACCCGCAATGCCTCGGCATCCAGCCAATTGGAGTCGGCCAGCAGCTGGAGCACCTCGTGGGCAGCGCTCAGCATTTGGTGTTGCAGTTGCTTCAGCTGGCGCTCCCGCTGCTTGGCCACGAGTAGCTTGCGCTCCATGAGCGCATTCTCCACCAGCAGCTGGGGACGCGCTCCACAGGCGCAGCTTTCGCTGCCCATCAGCAGCTGCTGGAATATGTTGCGCTCCTCGTTTAGCTCCTGCTCCGACAGCTGCAGCTGCTCGCTGGCGAGCAGACGATTCCGATTCCGGTTCCGATTGTGCATGCGCTGTCGCCGCTGACGCCGCTCGAGCCGCCGCTTGCTCCTGCTGAGCCGAGCCTGTCGGATCGGGTCGAGCCGACGCGGCGTCGACATCGCCTCCGTCTGGGTATACAGCGAGCAGCTGTGCGCCGTGCTCTCCTCCTCCGCCGCGCTGTCCTCCGGCAGCAGCGTCTGGCGTTTGTTGCGCACGCGTCGCGGCCAATGGTGGCGCATGGTAATGGCCCGTGGGCGTGGCTGCAGCTGGTGCTCCGCCAGCTGGTGTTCACCCAAGCTCTCATCCCCGAACACCGCCGTGCAGCTAATGTTGTTGCTGCTGCTGCTGTCCAGTTCGCCGTCCTCGCCAGCCGGCTCCATGAAGCGCACGTAGCGCTCCCGCTTGGTGAGCTGCGGCTTCACTATGAAGTACTCGTTGCTGGAGTTCTCGTGCGGCTGCGACGCCGCCTGCAGCTGCTGCTGCATATACTCCTTCAGCCGGCGGCGTATTGCCCTATTCGAGGAGTCCTGCGATTCGCTAGAGCTGCAACGCCTGCAGGTCTGCCGGAACTGGGTCTGCGGCTGCGACAGCGATAGCGACAGCGACAGCGGCTTGCGGTTCTTCTCGAATTGAATAAAACGCTTCATTAGTGGCGACCACATGCGACTCCATTTGGCGGTTCCGCTGGGCGCCTTGGCCGCCTTGCGCCTCAGCTGGCTCTCCTTGGAGCTGCGCATGGCCGTGTGCGCCGCCATCCTTTTGGCCTCTTCCATTCGATGCAAGCGCCAGGCGAACCTGATGAACTCCGGCACCGAGCTGGTGCCGCTGGCGAGCATTCCGCTCTCGCCCTTGCTGAGCTCCAGCTGGCCGAGCGCATCCACCTCGCTGCGACTCTGCGCGTGGGTCAGCCATTCGAGCATGTCGCAGCGCTCCTGGATTTCCAGCTCCAGTTGCTGCTTCTCGACATCTATGGTCTGCACCTTCTGCTCGGCCAGCTCCAGGCGCAGGCGCTGCTCATCGATGTGCTGCAGGAAGCACTCCCTGGTGTACAGCTGTAGCTCCATGCGCTTGGCATTCTCCAGCTCCTCCCGGGACTGCGACGGGGCTGGGCTGGACACAACCGGCGATGGGGTCGGCGGCGCTGGGCATGGGCTTGGACTAGGGCTAGGGCTACGGCTAGTGCCATGGATGGGGCTCTCCTTGGCCGTTTGCTGCTTCTGGTTGTGGATTCGCTCGAGGCGCATGCGCATCGACCAGCTGCTGTCGCCGCCCTCATCCTCGTCTGGATTAGATTTACGCGCGTCCAGCATCTGCATCTCTACTGGCAGCGGCCCCTCGTCCACCTGCCGGCCGAGCTGTTGACTCCAGATGGAGCGCTTTTTCGTCTGCCCCTTGCCGCGTTTCGCCAGCTGCTGGTCGCGTGCTTCGATCAACTTTCTTTCCAGCTCCTCGCTCTTGCGCCGAATACGCTCCTGCTCTAGCTGACGCTTCTTTCTCTCCAACTCCAGCTGCGGGTCTTGTTCCGCCTTCTGCTCGCTATCCACCATTTTGTTGGCCCGCAGTTCGGCTAACCGTGGTTGCTTTTGCACCTGCTCCTGCGGCCTCCCACCCGGCTCCTGTTCCCGTTGCTTGGCCCTTAGCTGCTTTTTGCGCTTCTTTCGCTCCGCTCTGCCTCCTCCTCCTCCGTCTGTTAACTGCGTTCCACCCACCGTTCCCTCCCTTCTCTGCAGCTCCTTTTGTTTCGTCTCGAGCTCCTCCCACCGCTGTCGCTCGCGACGATCCTCTTCTGATTTGCACTTCACTTTGAAGGAGCCTCGCTCCTTACGCTTTGCTGCTTCTGCCTCCGCCTCCGCCTCCGTCACAATTGGCTGGCAGCTCTGCTCCAGCCGCAATCGCTGTGCCCGCATCTCCTTCTCGCGGCGATCCACCTCGACGGCGAGTCTTTCGCGCTGCCGGTGCGTGAACAGGCGCTGCTCGCTCTTGCGGGTCTCGCGCAGAATGCGCTCGTGCTCCCGCTGCTCGTGCACCTTGATCAGCTGCTCCTCGCGCTCCTTCTGCTTGCGCAGGCGCTCCAGCACCAGGCGCTGCTCCTCGCGCTGCTTCTCCTCCGCCTCCCGCGCCCTCTGGCGCTCGCGTTCCCGCTCTCGCTGCAAGCGCTCCACCCTCTGCTGTTCCTTGCGTCGCTCTATCTCCAACATCTTGCGTTCCCGCTCCGATGCTGCCGCCTGCACTGGGCTGTGCAGCTCTCTGCGCACGCCCCTTTTGTTATCGCCTTTCAGCTGTTGATCCTCCGCGTCCTCATCGAGATCACTTTCCGGCTCCCGGAAGTTCGTTTTCTTGTACAGCTCCACCAACGGCTTCTGCTTACCCCTCTGGGTGCTGGTCGACCTTGGTCCTTTTGTCGGTGTGGAGGTAGGCGAGGGATTTTGTGTGGATGCGGCCTTAGTTGATGCTGTAGGCGCAGGTGAGGGTTTAGCTGTAGGTGCAGCAGGTGAGGGTTTGGCAGTAGGTGCAGGTGTGGGCGTGGGCGTGGGCACGGGCGTGGGTGAAGGTGCAGGAGCAGGTGGAGGCGTAGCTATGGGCTTCGGCCCTGCTGTGGATCTCACTGCAGATGTAGGCTTGGCTACAGACTTGGATGTGGGCTTAGCTTCAGATTTGTGTACAGTATGCACGGGCGTAGGCGTGGGCGTGGGCGATCGGGCATGATGAGGAGCGGGCCTGGGTGTGGCCGGCTTTGAAGCTTTGCTTTTGGCCGAGCGGTGCGATGTGCCCGAGATGAGCTCGTGGTGCCAGAGCTTGCGTTCCACTTTCTCCAGTTTCTTCACCTGATCCTTGGACATCTGCCCCGCCATGCGCCTGCCGTCCTTGTCTTCCTCAGCCGTTTTCTTCCCCTCGACGGGCTCGTCGGCCTGCATACACACGCTGGATGGGTTCGGTGCGCGCAGCTCCATCCGACTGCCGTCATGCACATCCGAGCGCATATTCTCGCCCCGTTTGCGCTCGGGCTGCTCAGCCCTTAATTCCGGCTTGGCCGGCGCCCTGGCTTGCAGCTTCCTGCGGCGCGCATCGTAGTGATCGAGCACATTGCGCAAATCCCTGTTGCAGTTGACGACATCCGTGAAGGGATAGCTCAGCTGGCCATCTTCCTTCAGCTGGCAGTGCATCAGCGTGATGAGGCAGTTACGTGCCGCCTTCTCCTCCTTGGTGGTGCGCGAGAAGATGCCCAGCCACTTGGGGCACAGGTCTCGCTCCGCAGCGCAGCTATTCAGCTTGTTCAGCTCCTTGACTAGCTCCATCTGCTGCGCAAAGTGCCGATCCATCTGGTCGTCGGATATGCTGTGAGTCACATTTGTCCGCACCAGGCGCATTGCCTGGCCTGGGTTGTTGTTGTTGTTGTTGTTGTTGATGGTTATCTTAGACATTTGTAAAATAATTTGATTTGCCGAAATGTTGTCTACACGTTCAGGATCTAGTTTCATAAATTTTGTTCGCGCCGCTATTCACTTTCCTTTTCTCTCTATTACCGAAATAAAACCTAAACCTTCTACAAAATATATTCTATTCAAATTTTGCTGCGTCGCTTTTGCTTTTTGGTTGCCGAAATATTTCTTACCCGAAATATTCTCTGCTGAACCCGAAGATTCAGAAGATATATATTCTTTAATTGATTTCTGTTGCGCCTATATTTGTTCTATTTAAAACCTGAAATATGTTCTGAAATTTCAGAAGAAATCAATTTCATTTCATTTGTGCCGCGTCACAATTCAGTTTTTGTGTTTGCTTTCGATGGCCAAATTATTTTCTTCTGAACTTTTCAGAACATATATTTTATTTAATTTGTGTCGCGCTCCTAATTTGATCGATATTCTCTACAGGACCTCTTATTATCGGGCGTTGAATTTTATTTTTCTCAATTTGTCGTTTACAGTTCGAGAGATATTCACAAACTAAACTATTCCCAGGCTCGACACCTAGAGAAAGCCTGAACAGCCCTCTCAGAGCCTACTCGTGTATAATCCAGAATTGAATTGAAAAAACCTAAGAAGTTTAAGCGAAAAACAAAACTGTGAAAAGTTCAGTTTTGATTGCAGAATGTTTTGATACAAAATATCCAATTACGAATGTAGTTTTCCAAAGTTTGAGTTCTGAGAATGGCTTTTCAGGAACTTTGCAACACTCTCTTTAAAAGAGAAAGAGCTAACAATATTATGTTCAATAACAATACGTTAAGGGTATTCCTTTATATATGGAAATTGTCTGGGAAAATGTTCGAACAGTTCTTGAAAAAATTGAAGAGCCTTGTGGGCCTTCCTTCCCATCCCATAAACCATGCTATCTGCTGTCTAGTGAAGCAATTATTTGGGTTAATGGAAACTTGATTTGGAGAGCGGGCAAAGGGGCCACGCCCATGGGCGGAGGATTGGGCTCATGGCACAAATTGATGGCCGGAGGATTAATAAATGCGCTTAATGTGCTAAACGAAATTAATAAAGTGCTAAAAGTTTGAGCCCGAAAAGTCTTAGACGAGCATTAGGCTGGGCCACGCCCAGCCAACGTTCATCATTGTTTAACAGGGCTTGGCAGAGGGGCGCGCCCACCCACACACACACACACACACACACACACACGGATATGGACTGTGTGCATGTCAATTATGACGCCCATTTCAAGGAGGGGAGCGTGGGCGTGGTATGTCGAGCGTTTCTAAACGTTTTCATTATAATTACAATATTATTATTATCATTGGGTGCAGACAGGCGCGCACACACACACACACACACACACTAATTGAGTGTTGGCGATTTTGATATTAATTAATATTTATGCCCTTTATCCCTTTTGATGATGGGACAATCCGTTTAACCGAATTTAAAAGCCGCTCTAATGCCGCTTGTTAGTTTGCGACTTGATTTTCATACCCTTCACCCGAAATGCTCAAATGCCCAAAATGGGTATCTTGGTTTTGGGCAACGAACTATTCGGGCTAGAGACTAGAATTTTGGAACGTAGCTCCGTCTATTGCCAATGTAAATCTAGTCTGTTAACATTCATCGGTAAATATCGATTATCTAAACCTGTTCTTTTAGCATAGCTCGAGGATTATAAGAGCTGGATACACCAAAATTGATATTTAGACTCTTTTTTAGTATGCTCAGCTAAAGAATATATCACTTCTTGGATACTACCCCCCGCAGCAGGCAGAATTGAAAAAAAACAACTCCTTTTTAATGGTAGAGCCTTGAGCTTTGGTATACACACACTTTTTTAAGACATATTTAAGCCCTGAAATTTTCATGAAGATCGTACTTTAAACTGCCAAGTTACTCAAGAACGCATTTCTTAAAGTGTGTGAGGCTAATGGAAGAAGCAGAGCCGCAGCATCGACTGCGCAGTCAGCGGCGTGTGTGTGTGTTTTCATATGTATTTATATAGAAGAAAACTAGACCCAAGGCTAAAGGTAACTTCCCTGCATGCAAAAGTTGGGCAAAGCTCTTGGACCACGCAAATCTCTGCAGCACAAAGTTTGGCCCAACAAATTGAAGGGCATTCAATTGGACGTCTAGTCCTCCTGTGTCATTGTGTCCAGCTCCAGGTCCAGCTCCAGCCGAGTGGCCCCTTTGGGCAAGTAGAGTGTGCCGGGTCCAGTTCAGCGCTCATTAGACGCTGGCAACAATAACAGCCGAGCGTCAAGCTAGGCAATGAATTGACTTCGAGTCCGGTTCGAAGCGAACCCCAAGCCAAACGAATGCCTGAGCCCTTTTTGTATACTCTATCGAAAAACAGTCTTAGGGGTATATTGTAATTAAATGTCTTAGGCGCAAACACAGACTTTACAGCTCTTAACATTGTATTCTACTTTTCCAAGTGGACCTTTTTCCGCCCACAGGGCATCTCTCTGTTGGGCATATGTTTTGAAGCATGAATTCCTACAGACTTGTCCGCTAAAACATTTTCTTTTATCGACAGGGTAGCTCCTAGTCGAGCCCTTCAAACTAGCGACCATTGAAGTGGTTGTCTTTTTATTTCGCAACTGATTTATTTGATTTGATAAGTCTTGACGCAAATGTGTTTCATTTACCTACTCACAACACACTTTCGACTGACTTTCAAACGGCCGCCGACCCAAGAACGGACGAGTTGGATGAATGGATGAATAAGCGAGTGGCTGAGACGGGCTGAGGTGGTGCTAAGGTCTGTCTAGGCCTGTGCCTGGGCCTCGGTCTGTCTGAGTTCTTTGCCCTTTTCCTTCGAGTTGTTGCCAACAATTTGAAGCCGAGCACTGGGGTCAAAGGGTCGGGGCCGCGCAGCCTTTTGGTCATTCGATACGGCGCTCATTAAAAATATATATATTTTTGGTCTATGCCCCATTTGTATTCCCTAGGTAGGGCATTTGGGTCTAAAAATAGACCAATAATGAATGATATGCCATGTTTTTTTTGGAATATCGATTTTGAGAAATGCGTGGATTATATAGATTAGGCAAATTTCACTTTCCAAATACTCCGCCCATTTCCCACCAAATTGAGTTAAAATTCGTGCACCGAGCGCAATAATGTTCTACTTGTGGCTCATATTAGAGTATACACCATTCGTATAGCCTCAGGCCCAGTTCACATTGGGGCATTCTTGTGTTTGACTGGCGCAGCGAAAGGGTCAGCAGTGGCTGGGGTCATAGACACCCACAGAAACCACACATTTAAGCGATTGACATTAATTATGCGCTAAATGGAAAGCACGAAGAACTGTCCACGGTTTTGCCAGCTATCCTCAAGACAATATCTGTTGGGCGCCTTTCGCCCAACTAATTAGCGTGAGTTATGATAGTTTGATTAGAGGACGGGGGCTTGGAACTCAGCTGACCAATTGTTGTTGTGGGGCTTTTCAATTGATGGCAGCTTGAAATCTAGGCGAGCTATTGAGCGCCGTATCAATGGGCGTTTTTAGTATTGTTATCGTTATCGTTATCGATATGTTTTGTCTTGGGCAAAAGGCGACTTTGATTGATTGAGCCGACAGACACACACAAACACACACACACACACAGACAGCGCCTGCTTATCCGAGTTAAGACCACAGCGCCCTGTTGGAGCCAGGCATATCATGTGGACGCTGGTCAACGTCGTTGATCCACAACTTTATGAGCCGCCCAATTGGATATGGCTGCTGCTCTGCTTGTTGTTGTGCGTTTTCTTTTTAACTTGACATTTATCGCTTTATACGCATTTCCTTTTCGCCTACCCGCCTGCCTGCCTGCCTGGCTGCCTGTCAGTCAGCTTGTCCGTCTCCATCTCAGCATCCCCCTTGGTCAGGTCAGCTCGTTCTGTCCGCCTGTTAGTTTGACATGTTTGTTATGTTTATAGGACGATATATTTACCAACTTAATTGGTAGTTATAGACGTTCCAAATAAAATACTGAGGCGCACAGCGAAGGGGAAGCAGAAATTTTGGGCCCAAAATAGACTGAGCGCAGAAGGGAAGGTGTGAAGCGTAAGATAATATAATCAGACTAAGGAATAAATGTCGATTGGAATGGATACAACAATAAACTTATTATAGAAGACTAACAAAATATCGACATATTGATAAATAGTGTAATCAATTTATCGAAATATCGATTATTGTCATGCAATATTTAAAAAACTCGTTCCGCAGCCTATATTCAAAATATATACTTAATATCGATATATCGACTATGAATGTTATCGATTAGTCAAATTAAAGACATATAAATCAATAACGTTATCGACCTTTCGATTGGTATTTTATTGTCATATTCATGTTGACTAAATATGAGACGCAAGAAAAATATTTACAGATAATTTACAATAAAACTAGGGAATAAATATCGATTGTTATGGACATTGGATAATGGATGATATAGAAAACGATTTAAAAATCGATATATCGATTTATGATGTTATCGGTTTATCGAAAAATCGATTAATTCGATACGCAGCCTCTTCTCAAAATATAGACATATCTATCAATAATTTTATTGACTTATCGATTAGTCTTTTATTGTCATATACACGATAATATCGAGGTATCGATTTATTCCGATACCATATTATATGGAATTCCATGCTTAATATCTACAAATGTCTCAAATTGCATAAATATTAAAGTTTGAAGTTCATCTTAAATAATGGAATATTCAATTTAATTCAAAATACTTATCTAAATAAATATTTATCGATATATCGATAAATTCCATTTTGCATGCACAGACCTGAAACTATAATCGAATCAGTTGCTTTAGCGCAGCTGAGCTTCTATTCAGCTTAGACACGCCCCACTTTGGCGCCCAGGCCCTTTGCAGGCCCTGAACCGGACCTGGGCAGCAACTGGCAAAGCTTTTCCCCTGATACCTTTGCGGCACAGCTCTAGAGACAAGCAAATGATTGTCATTGTCCGTTTTATGTTTCATTGTTGTGTATGAGTATGTGTATGTGTATGTGTGTGTGTGTGTGTGTGTGTGTGTGTGTATGTGTTGTTGTTGTTCTTGAAATCTGTATTTGTATTAGAGAGTGTTTGTGGCATTCTTCACAGCGGCTGTTTAATTGATGCGCCCTCTTCATGAAATCATAAATCCCACTTCTCACTCTCTCTCTCCCCCTCTCTAATTCGCTCTCTCTCTCTCTCTCTCTATCTTTCATTTCTCTGTTACAACAATAAAAATCAAATCAAATTTAATACAAAATTAAATAAAGTTTGTTCGGCTTCCTTCGGCTGAAGCTTCAGCTGCCGCCGTTGCGCCTGCTGCGACTGTTTGTAGTTTTTTGCTAAAACCCTGGAATTCTCAGCAAAAAGGCAAAGGGGCATGCACATTTCTGCCCATAAACTATTTCTTTACTGAATAGTTTCGGCAACAGTTGCCTCGATATCAGAGCTTAGAAGTAAGCATGTATATAAAGTCCCTTGGATCTCTGACTTTAAAAAAAAAAAAGAAAGGTTGCTGGTTCGAATCTTGGCATTTGGCTCAGCTTGCTTGAGGCTCTTAGCGAGTTGCTGGGCAACAGGGTATCAGCTAGTCGGCTCAGCTCAGAAGAAGAATTTAAAGCCCATCGCATCGCTGATTTAAAACAAAAAGAGAGGTTGATGGTTCGAATTTTGGCATTGCGCTTTGCTAGCTTGCAGCATGCATAGCTGCTGGTGGGCAACAGGGTATCAGCTAGTCGGGCACTGCCCTCAGTTTTTTATCAGTTTCTTTCATTGTGGCAAGTTGTAGCCGCAGCTGGCACGAAAAATTTCAACTTTTGGCCAAGTCTTCGCTTGTGTCTCTGTCTGTCTGTGTGTGTGAGTGTGTGTGTGAGTGTCTGTATCTTATTTAATTTAGCAGACTGTGATGAGAGGAGAGAAGTGTGTTGAGCATAAGATGCCGCCGCATGTTCGTTGACTTTATTTGCTGTGTGTAATAAAATTAAAGCCCTTTAGCTATTGTACTTTGGAGGGAACAAAAAAAAAGAATATACAAATGCAAAAGAACAAATTGTAGCCGCACACACACGCCATCAGTTGCAGAAGGAGGGGAGAGGGGCAGGGGCAGGACGAAGTCGTCGACGACAGCAGCCAGCAGCCAGCAGCTAGGAGCTAGGAGCTAGGAGCGAGCCAGCGAGCCAACGAGCCATGAATGTTGCTCTTAGTTGTGGATGTGGCCATTAAGTTGGCTTTTTTATAGTCCTAGTTACATGCCGGCGACTAGATGGGCGCGGGGAAAGGGCCACGGGGCAGGAGGCGGGCATAAACTTTGAGCTGAAGCATATTGAGAATATTCGCGCTGTTCTTTAGCTAGTTTATATCGTATTATATCTTCGACTTTGGTAATGAACTCCAGTCCAAAAGAAAGGCTGCCATCACAGCATCCATTCCATATGCACAAAAAGGGTATACTCCTCATATACTACATATAAAAGGGTATACTATTTATGTGCTAATGTTGGTAACAGAGAGCAGAAAGGATACCCCAAGTCTGACTGTCCGTCTATATCAGAATGTGTCTGGCTGCATGTGTCGGACACTTGAAATCTCTATATATACATTTACACTGTAGTTAATTCGGCAAATTCCACTCGTATGTGTGGAAAAAGCGCGAAAAGCTCGTAAAATGCATTCCTCCTTCCAAGGATCTTTTCGCAGAATCCAAGATTCCTCGCGATTCAAAGATTTGTTGATTTAAGTTTTCTTCGATTTGCGTCAAACTTATTTTCAAAGATCTTTGTGAGAATTATTTGGTAAGTTCTTGGGTGGCAAATACGGGTCAAAGGTTTAATAAACGAAAGTTTATTCTTCAGCTTCAAGATTCTCACTGCAAGACTAACCTGGGCGGAAACAGTTGATGCCAACACTTGGTTCATTATTCGATGCAATTGAAACATAATTTTAAATAGAAGCGAAAAGTAAATATCTACAATTTGCAGCACAAAACGTTCCATGGGCAAGGCCGGGCAATGCTCGCTAGTTTCAAATATATATTCTCCGACACCAATACACTGAATGAGCTTATCTTTCGATAACTCCTCCCATTTCCATCATATAGATACATATCGAGGATTAGCTCGAGAGTTATAAGAGCTGCAGACTCCAAATTTTGGATGTTAGTTCTCGTATAGCATAAACAGATTTAAGATAGTTCACTTATTGATTACATCCGTCCATTCCTCTTAAAATTAGGAGAAACTCGCACTTGGGCGTATACACACTATCGAATGCACTGAAAATTGAATTACGATCGGACTCTAAGCACCGAGGTTCATGCAGAAAGCATTTCGGGCTCTTTACACATTCGGTTAAATATTTATCTATCAGTTGTTTAGAATTTCAGACAAATGAGCTGATTTGCTGATTCATTTCGATTTCATCGAATACTCAGCTGGGAATTGCAATTGTCACCTTTCAAATTGCATTCCTGAAAGCCGCTTTCTGTGGCTTTCGACTGCTCCCCTCGGACATGCTCGTGCACATTGTTGCAAATGTTGCATAATAAATAAATACATGTTTTATGTGCCTCACCTTTTCAGGTCACATCCCAAAGGGATGTCATGCCAGAGCCTACAATAGCATTGATTGAAAATTAAGCTTATCTTATTTGTAAACAAGACATCATTTTGGTTTATATTTTTTCATGCTCCCTAATCTGTTCCCACCATTTACAGCTGACGCGGACGAGTTGGGCATTGATCCCAATACGAGTATTATCCGACTTTGCCGTTCACATTCCTTTTATCGATTTGCCGGCTAGACATAGATCAATCAGGGGTGGGTAAGTCGGTTAACAAAATAATTTATATTTAAAATAGGACATACGAATTTAGGTTGCATGTTAATTATGCAGATTATGCAACATTTACCCTCACTATTCTTGATTAGCTCGGTGCTTGAAGTCCGATCTTAAGTTAAAGTTGCATCCAAACGTCAAATTTGACATACCTCGCACTTATTGTGCAAAAAACCAAGGCTGCAAATCGATATATATCGATTCTCATACAATTATTTCGATTTTGCTTGGCACCCTGCTCCGCCGGGCCCAGGTAAAAGAGTTTAGAGCCGTTTTCGACCCATATGAATATATGATTTATATTATATTTCTATATATTTGGTCGGTACTCACCTCCGCAGTGATCCTTGAAGTCGTCACAGCAGTCGCCCAGCTTGAGGCAGGCGTGATCGCAGTAGCAGGGCTTGTCGCTCAGATCCTCGATGATCGCGTTAACCGGCGCCTTCTGCACCACGCACGAGGAGTCGCGTCCGTTGCAGCAGAGCTGCGCCTCCCGGCACGAGCCGCCGGCGGCCAGCGGCAGCTGCTGCCCCAAGCCGAGCCACAGGAGCGCGGCGAGCAACAGCCCACCCCTGGCAAAGGGTCCACGGCGCATCGAACGTTGTGACATTTGCGAGTTCTCGATTAACGATTTCAATAGGCTCTAAATATGGATATATTTTATATATGTGACGCACACACAGACGTGCATATGTGTGTGTGTGTTTGTGTATGCAAATGCAATTTACGCCCAAAAGCGGAAATTAAAACTAAAATTGAATTATGGCAATTGTGTGCCAGCGCAGACGAGAGCCAACTATCGATAGATACATGGTGAATGCAGCAAAGAGGGGGGACGAGCAGGGCGTGGGGATTTCCGAGGGGGAGGCTTGGATTGGGGAGTAGCTAAAAACCAAACTGAAAGTGCGCAGAGTAAGCTTTCGATTGCCAATAATTAAATACCCTTGACTGAGAGATGATGCGACTGATTGTTCCTATATGAGCACTATATTATATATAGAGCAGACCGATTCGATGCGATATATATGGAATATAAAGAAGCTCGGTCTAGATATCGCGAAGAACAAAAAAGGATTTCCATGCAAAAACTCATTTCACGACCAGTTCTTCTTATATGCTATACTAGCGGGTATTGCCCGGCCTTGCCCGTGGCACGTATCAAATAAATTCTCTCAAGGACCTTAGAAAATGAGTTTGAAGCAAATCGGACAAAACTTAAAACTTAGCCCAACAAATCTTTGAATCGCATTTTTCACCAAGGACACTTTGATTTTGATATCAAATGATATTTCTTCTAGATCTGTGGATCCCTATTCACCAATGACACGCTTCTAATGAATTTGCACAAAGATCTTTGAAAATGAGTTTGAGGCCGATCGGATGGTAAAGAAAAACTTTCATACAAACGTTTTCCGCGAATTTTCCACACATGCGGGTGGAATTTGACGAAACACCGTCTTAACGTCCACCTTCATCACATAAGACTGTATCTTCGGTGTTTATAGTCCGATCTTTATCAAACTTTCACAGCTTAAATATGACACGAGCGCAATGCTCTACCTTTTGTGGATTTTTTAAAAATTGGAGTAGATAGACAGACGGACGCTACAAATTGAAAAAAATTGTCCATGTCGGAAATGTTGAAAATATCCGAGTATTAAAAAGTTGTCGATAAGTTGTTGTATGTCAGATATTTCGATATCAAGAAACAATTTTAGTTAAATTTTCAATACATTGGTTCTTATCCACGCTCACGTCTCTTCAATTTAGTACTCCTCTATTGTCGTATACTCCTATTACCATCCCTTCTATTACTTAATATCTCTATCTGGCAGAGCTCCCAGCCCTACATACATATATATTTTTCAAGTTTTCAAAGAGGCTTTGCTCTGCTGATAAAGTAAATAACCAGAGAAAGTAAATTTTTACCCAATATATACTCGAGCGGGTCGGCTGGATTCGAGCCATGCATTGCCTGCAGCACAAAGAGAGAAGTTATATCCAGTTTGCCTTTAGGCTGTTTTCTTTGCGACAAAATAGAAATACCCTCGCTCTGGCTGGGGGGTAAAGAGAGTATTAGGCCAGAGCAGGCATTGGGCAGAGCCGCCTTCGATATTGGCAGCATTAGCACAATTTGAACTTCTAAACAGGCGACTCGATTCAAAGTAGGTCGAGACAAGGTGAACATGGAGGAGGCGCTACCTGGTGCTAAATCAAGTGAAAGGGCTGGCTAGAGGGGGGGGGAAGGGCTGCGCATGGGGAGCTGTTTTGCATAAAATATTGAAGCAAGCGGCAACAATGGAGACGCAAAAGAGAGGCGGACGGCGAATCGATGGCATTCGCTGGGGTCGGGGAGGCAGGTGTAATAAAACAAAGACTTCAATTTTCATAAATCGTTGCGAACTGCAGAAATCGTGAGAAGCTATTGAGAATTTATATTAACAGCTGTGGCAAGAAAAGGGCTGACAAAATCAATCGACTGGAAGTGAATGCCAAAGCGAACGGACTCTCATTGCATCCGTCCGTTCAGTCCGCCCAGCCCCTCCAACTGTCCCTTAAGTGTGTCATTACAGTTCCTTTTCGGGAAATAAAAATAAAAAGCACCAAATGATGCAACACTCATTGACTATATATAAAGATCCATTCACATACATTTGGTATGTCTGCAAAAAAAAAAAAAAGAAATTTCAAATGAACTCAAAAATTAGGCGATATGAAAATCGCGGGCGTTGAACCGGGGGCCACACGTTCGCCAGGCAGACGCTCCTCCCGTGAGCTACGCGTGCCCGAAGCGCGCTTCAATTTTGAGTTTAATTTAAGTTAAGAGAGGCCACAAAATAATTTTATTGATTTATTTCTTTACGTCCCCCTCGAGGCTCTTCTCTATTTTAATCATAAACATTCCTTTGATTTGGACTTAAAATGGATATGTGAACAAGAAAACCGGACACGATCCACAATTAAGATTATTTTGAATCAATTAAGAAACGTTTTCAGCTTCCACTTTTCCAGAGGCAAAAGGATCGATATATCGAACGATTTTCCCCATCCGGAAGCACGGATGAAGTCTTTGTCTGGAAAGATCTGATGGATCCAAAGGATCTAAAAACTGGAAGCGATCCACAATTAAGAATATTTTGATTAAGAAACGTGCTCAGATATTCATTTTGCGGTAGACTTAAACCAAATTGAAGCAATTCTAATTCAGCTCCCATTTTGACGAGAGGTCAAGGGAATGATATATGGAGCACTTTGGTACATGCCGAAGCATGGCTGAGGTCTGAAAAGATCTGATGGATCCATAAGATCCAAATACCACTGAAAAAAACTCCGTTCCGTTTTTTCTGTGATTTTAAAAAGTAAAAACAGAATACGAGTGTGTCCGCTCTAGAAACCTTTCACTGTAAAACCAATTCAAATGCGAGTCTATCAAGTTTTGAATACGAAATGATCGCATTCACTGGACATTTGAATGACGAATCACAATTATGTAAAGGAACTATAAGCTTTACATATAGCCTATATATCTAAAACCGATTTTTTCCAGCCAAAACATTCACATTCACAACCTTATTCGAATCGCACTTATTCGAACTAATAGAAATATACTTTGAATATGATTCACACTCATAACGGAAATCGTGTCAGTCAAGCACAAGAATTTAAATATGCTTCGCACTCAGAACAGACGTCGCCGAATTTGAATTAAACTGCGGCTCACTTAATTGAGTGCATTCTGGCCAAAAGCTGCATTCACTCAAAACAAAGCGCACTCAGCGAAATAAGTGACTCGAAACGGAAGCGACAACTCGCCGCTTTTGACAGATGCCGCTATTAAATTTAACGGAACTGCCGAAAAACAGGCCGCGCTGCTGGAATGAAGAGCACAAAAGCAGGACACAAATTTAAAGCGGGCCATAAAAAAAACACACGGGCAAAGCAAACTAAATTTCCGCTTTATATGTGACTATGTGTGTGTGTGTGTGTGTGCGACACAAGGCGACATAAATGTGCTTAAATGATTAATAACTTTTGTCACTCCTTTCTCGCACACGCGAATGGCGCACTTTGTGGCGCGGTTTCAGTTTCACTTATCAACAAAAACAAAAAAAAAATACAAATGCAAAAAAACAACAACACAAACAAACAAGATGTAGCTGAGGCACAGCTGAGTATTAAAATCCAATAACCGCGAATTCAGTGGCAGCGGTTGCCTTTTGGCTCCACACGTGTTTCGCTTACGCTATTTAATTCCGTTATTTTACTTTGGTTGGTTTTCGATTGCGCGACAAGTGCGAACACTGCGAAAGCCGGTCGACGACTGTGGCAGCTGCTCTGCTGCGTGGTGAGTTATAAGGCAACACAAGCAGCCAGTCGCCTGTCGCCTGTCGCCCGTAGCCTGTCGGCTGTCGGCTGTCGGCTGCACTCGTGCTTCTCTGTTCGGCCAGCCACTCGGCTCGCCACGTTTGAGTCGGTCTGCCTGAGCCTCAGTTCAGCCGCTGCTTGACACGTGCAAAGCGCTTTGATTTGTTTGTTTTGAGTGGGTTTGCCTCATTGTGTGCCCCGCAGTCAAAAAAGCCGGCAATGCCGTTATGCTTGCATTCCCCAAAAGTAGATGAAAAAATAAAGACAGTCAGACAAAAACAATAAGAGTCTCACTCGGTGGTGAGTTTTTAAATGCCCCGCGGGCCAGACAATAGAGACAATATTTACTCTAAAAGCCATCAACCACGGAGTGCTTAAATCAATGTTATCGCCGTCTGCCGTGCACACATTACACACAGGTTTATACAGAAATAAAGTCAAAAATATTTAATTACCTTCTCAACTCTTTGCAGCAAGCGCTGGCATATTTGATTGAACCTTAACTCACCTCTTTAAGTTCTGGCAAACGCAGCTTTGAGCACAGGCTGTTGTGAGAAGATCCTAACTCACCTCTTGAAGTTCTTCCAAGCGCAGCTTTCAGCGCAGTCCGAATTGAGTGGCTCTTTACTCACCTCTGCAAGCGCTTTGAAGTTCAGCTTTGAGCTCAGTCAGTATTGAATGGACTCAAACTCACCGCTCTTATTTCTGTCAAGCTTAGCTTTAAGCGCTGGCATTATTGAGTGTGATTTAACTAACCTTTTCGATTTCCCGTTATGCTTTTATTCAAACTAGACTCATTATTTGTACCCCTTAAAAATGGGTTCTAGAAAAGGTATATTGACGTTTCGTGAAATCTAGTTTGTTTCGACAACGTAATGAATTATATAAAATTATATCGACAAAAATAAAGCTATTAATTTCATAATCAAGCAGGCGTTTAAAAATTTAGTAAACTTTTTTTTCATCTAGTTAGCTTTCACGCTCTGACCTGGGGGGACCCTGTATGGGAATTCGGCAATATTCATTTTGAATTTAGCTCTGGAACAAACAATAACTAAAAATTTTTAGTGAAAAAAAAACTAAATAATGTTGTGAGAGAACAAAATAAAAAACAAAACTATGTAAAATATAATAAAAAAATTTCGAAGAAAAAAAAAATGAATAAAAACTCTTTGTTTGGTGCAATATAATGTTTTTGTTTTTTGTTTCAAAATCTAAACTCGAAATCGAGCAAAACATTCTAGCCTTATAATACCAAAAAAGTACAAAAATGGGGGGTATCCTGTAAGGAAAGCAGACAAAAAAAAAACCCAGGTAAGTAAGCCTCAAGAATTCAAATGGTGGACTGTAATTAAAATTGTCTGTTTTTCCAGAAACAAAACCAAAAAAATCATCTAGAGAAGCAAAATGAAAAAAAAGGAGATGCATTTGATTTATTTGATTTGAATTCCATAACATATTTTCACAATTCCATAGTTCGATAAGTTTATTTTTAACGCAACAGTTGCGCAGCTACAGTCCGAAGTCCAAACCTTCCAACACTTCCCAACACACTTTTCCCATAACACTGAAGCAAAGGAATCATCAACACGAATAACGGAACAACGAACAACGAAGAACGAAGAACGAAGAACGAACAACGGAACATTGAACCAGAGAACAAAGAAGAACGAATCTAACGAACTACGAATCACATTTCTACGAATCCCAATACCTCGATCACAAATGCTACTAATTACTACGAACCACGAACCAGTACACGTTCCGTTCCAATTCATTCGCGATGCAGCGGATGTTCCAAGGAACCACTTGAAAAGACGGTAAGTTCTTGACTCGGATCATTTTTGGTAATGCTCAGTTTCTCAATTCCTCAGTTACTCGGCCATTGCGATTTCAAGCCTACGGTACCGCGACCGCAACCCCAACCCCAATCCACTTCCTTACCCATCCGCCCTTCCCCCCGTCCCCCGTCCTACTGCAACCATTCGACAAACCGAGGTCGGCGCGAAGGATTTGCGTACTTGAAAGCGACACTGGCCCATCCGGTTTGCTGCACTTGTCAATCGTTTGAAATATATGCTTCACTTTAGACATACGTATATATGTACATGAGATTGCGTTTTCCCTGTAGTCCAGTGTAGTGTCTAGTGTAATTTTAAGTGTAGTCCCAACTCTGCGCCCTGCCCTTCCCTTAAAGAGGCTCACTTATAAAGGCAACAAACGTGGGCTGTTTCAAAGATTCCCTTCCATAGTATAAAACGGAAGAACTCATCATGGAGAAAGTTATGGAAGTTTACGTTTCTAGTGTAATTTTAAGTGTACTCCCGGCTGCTCTGCATCCCGCACCACCCTTCAAAGAGGCTCACCTATCAAGCGGAAAGACGTGGGCTATTCTAGAGATTCCTTCGATGGAATAAAGCGGAAGAACGCGTCGTGGAGAAAGTTAGAAGTTATGGTAAGTCCAACCACCTGCTACATTCTATCGAGCGAAAGGACTACTGCGTTGGAGTGTTCCCACACGTAAGACGGGCACGAAGGTTTGACCCTATTTTAGACGGATGAGCTGCATCCACTGTCCTAAATTGTTTACTTCTCAAAGTTCATTAGGCTCTAATAAATTTCAAAAACAAATTATCTAGAAGAAACGCATAAATCTCATCCCTGTATTAGTTTTTATATTCAAAACTAAGATGATGCAATCGAACCTTATTATATTTTGGTTATATATATTCAACCTTGCTTTAACATGGACAGACTCAACGTGTTCGGAGCTTAAACTCGTTGCGAATTGCAAGACGTCAAACGGTAAAAAGGCATATCGATGTATACATTTACGAATGTTCACTCAAAAAGCTTTAGGCTTTAGCATAACCTTAAGCAGAAGAAAGGCAGGAAAAAGCTGAGAAAAAGCTAAATAGCTAAAAGAAGCTATAAATAGCTAAAAATGGCTTAAAACAATAACAATTGGCCGAACAAATGTTTTCATTGCTTTGCCTTGAGTTGACAAAAGATGGCTGAAAAATAGCTAAAAATGGCTAAAATAGCTGCATTAGCTTAGAGCGCCAATTGGCCACGAAGTGTTTTTATTGCTTTACCTTAAGTTGCCAAAAGATGGCTAAAAAAAATAGTTTAAAATGTGTAAAAGTAGCTAAAAGTAGCTAAAAATAGCTAAAACTAGCTGAACTAGCTTTCGAGCTTTCATAGCTTGCTCTTAAGTTGCCAAAAAATAGCTAATAAAACCAAAATGTCAACTACCTCCGGCGGACGAGCTTTGGAACTAGCCAAATTCAGCCAGAAAATAGCTAAATTTGTTGCCAACCAATGGAGCGACCCTCGCCAAATGCTGAACGCCGACTTATCGTCACGTGCGCACTTGCACTTGGCATCGTCTGCAGCAGGGCTAGGGGGCGTGAGTGTGGGCGTGGGCGTGGCAATGGCCAGACAATGGGTTAAGTTGACACAGTTGCATAGATTTTGAGACGAGACACGTTCCGACGACGGCGTGGGGGAGGGGGGAGGGGGCGAGGGTGGGGGGACAGGAATAGGAAGCAAGTGACATTTATGCTGACACCAAAAATCATCGTCAACAACAACAACAACGCAGGCAGCCTCAACTTACCCCCCCCCCCCTTCCCCACCGGCTCACCACTCTTGACACAACTTCGCCTCGCAAATATTTGCCGGCTAGGCAAACTTGTGGCCTGGCCCCCGGGCTATCAAATTGTGGGCGCGGGGCGTGGCAGCTTGCATGCGTCGCATTTCCGCTCCAGATCATAAACAAAGCCAAAGCGAGTGCCAATGCGAGTTGTGCATGTTCCATGTTCCATGTGCCATGTTCCGTGTTCCGTGTTCCGTCTTCCACTTTCCACCCGTTTCCGTCGCAAGGCCCGGCAACAGGCGGAATACCTGCGGCCATTTTGCCATTGCACACTTTTAGGCGGCGCCTCTTATTTTGCAACAATTAAAAGCAGCCGAACAACATAAAACAAGAACATTTTAGAAAGTTGCCGTCGACTGTCACCGACTGCACAATACCCTGTACGGAGTCTAAGAGCGAAAGTGGAAAATTGGAAAATTGTCTTTCTGATTACCGAGTTTCTGATTACACATAACATTTTCTTTTTGAAACTTTGAGCATTTTTGGACTATTTATAGATCTACAATATATTGACTTTAGTTCGGTTCACACACGCCTTTAGTTCAATTCGTGAACCTGGTTCATTACATATGTCTACCCTGATCGTGGTTCAAGTCTTTGTCCCTTTCTTTTTATTTATCTATCTGAGAACTGGTTCGGTTCATATAAAAAATAAACGTCAAAAGTTCTCTATAGAACGAAACATTCAATTCATAAATAGTTCCTTCATTTATAGATCCAAATTAAATGGAAACTAGTTCTGATTACGGTTCAAACTCTCAGGCTTCAGGCTTCAAATGCGAAAACCCGATATACCCCGGCCCTCACTTTCTGTACAGGGTATAGGAAATTGGCCAGCGGCTGCATTTTGCCAACTAATTGAAAGACCCTCGTTCTGAGTATACACAACAGCTGATTTAAAGTACAGTATGCGACAGAAAGAGAAAGCGAGAGAGAGAGAGAGAGTGAGAGAGGGGGAGAGAGAAAGAGAGAGAGGGAGAGAGTGGATGGCAATATTTGGAACACAGTTTTCCCAGCTAGGCCTTCGCTTGGGTGTTCACAATAGCAGAAAATCTGTTTCGAGTTTTCATTTATTTTTAATATTGCTTAATACTTTATTAATATTATTATAATTATTATTTTCTTCTAGACCGAAGCAACAATAGACCTAGATTTGGCTGTTGCACTCGGGTCTGGGTAAGCACAGAAATTTCAGTCCGTTCTACTCAATTAATGTCATAATATTTGCACAGTTCTATTTTAATTTCATTTTTAATCCACTATATATTCTGTTTGTATAAGAAACTGTACTGAATGACTGCTTGACTGATTGATGATCAACGCACAGCCCAAGTCGTAGTTACCCAAATCCACCCGAAAGTGTGGAATATTAGTGAAAACATCATTGGAAATGGGATTGGAACATTAACTGCAGCTGAGCCGCAGCAGAGACTATGCAATAGTCTATCTTTACATGATTCACCGACTGATTGACTGACTGATTGATTGACAGATCTGTCTGTCCTTCTTTCCTTTCTTCCTTGATGTAGACATGCATTTCCCTGTGACCTAAACAGATTGACTATAAAAACCTGTTCGATATCTTATCAGAGACTATGCAAAATCTATCTATCTTTACATGATTGACTGACTGATTGAGGGATTGATTGCCCGATCTTCCGCAATATAGACATGCATTCTACTGTCACTTAAACATATTAACTAACTCCACCCATTTTCACTATATTCACTTCTCAAGCATAGCTCGAGGATTATAAGAGCTAGAGACACTATGAATATATCACTTTCGCAATACATCCTACCCATTCCCAGTTCCAAATAGATTATTTCAGGCAACACATTTCCAGTTTCAAATAGAATATTTTATTTGTGGGGGCCCGTATAAAGTACACAGTTTGAAAGTATTTCACATTTTCTATACATCCAATACATTCCCAGTTCCGACTTGTTGCTATACCCGCGCTTACGTAGACTTTTGCCTACCACTGTGTGCCACATGAAACATGAATGCACTCACATATTGACAACTTTATAGAGTATGCCCTAATGCAAGCCCCTCTAGTCTTTGGCAATGGCATTGTAAGGGGCGTGGTGGATGGGTAAGGCAGGGAAAAGAGGGGAGAGCGGGAAGAGAGGGGAGAGATCTACAAGTTGTCTCTGGTTGCGGCCAAAAAAGTGTTTTCAATATCATAAAATTTATAAATATAATTTTGATTTTTAAGCTAACATCTGTGTGCCTGCTGTGTGTCAGTGTGTGTGTGTGTGTGTGTGTGTGTGTCAGTGTGTGTGTGTGTGTGTGTAAAATTGTGGTGCCGTCGCACGGGCCCAGTTGAAACTGTGCCAAATGCCGGAGACGGAGACGTCAGCTCGACAGTTGCAATTTGTGCGCCGCGGCTCGAACAACGTGTCCAAAATTGTTGTTCTTGTTTTTGTTGTTGTTTCTGTTGTTGTCGTTGTTGTTGTTATTGTGTTTTATTGCTGTAATCGTTTCGTAGCATTATTAAATGTCGAGCTGTTAAACACAGCGATTAAACGCGCCCGAAAACCCCGCCCGCCCCCCTTCCCCCTCTGCCGCACACAAGTCGGGCGGACATCCATGCTGAGCGCGTAAAAATTATCAATTAAAATCAATTTAATCGTTAATCGGGCGCCTTCATACAAACAACAACAACAAAAAAACAAAAAAAACACGGAAAAGCAGAAGAAAATGCCCGCAAAAAAACATGTAAACATAGTTTGCCAGGGAATATGAGGGGGCAGCGGGGCAGGGATATTTGGCTATATGGGTGGAGGGGGAGGGGGAGGGGGAGGGGGTTGGGGGGCTTGTGCTGGCAGCATAATTAAAAATTAATTTACCACAAAATAAATATGCATATTAAATGACTGTGCGAGTGTGTGCGAGTGTGTGTAAACATTTTAATAGCCCGACTCAAATGAAAAGCCAAATGAAAAGCCAAACAAAACGCGAAATAATGTCATTTGATGCCCCTGTCGATGTGATTATAGTTTTGTCATGAAATGCAAAATGAAATGCGCATACATAAATATACATATATATACATATGTATATATATATATTCTTGATCCGAACGACAAGCTGATGCGTTCAGGCCATAAACATCCGCCCGTCCGTCCGTGTGAACGCATCGAACTTGGGGAGACTAAATATTTGGGATTTGAAATGTATTTTGTCGTATATCGTATGCAGAAAGTCTTCATCATATTGATTTTCGATATCTTCTGCCTCTTTGTATCGATCAATATCGATTTTGAGTGCCCAATTTGAAGCATAACTCGTGGATTTTAGGTGCACAGATTAATAATAGTTCAGTTTTTGTTCAGGTTCTCTGATTCCCAACAAATGGAAAAAGATTTTCGATATCTAATGCCTCTTTATATCGATAAATATCGATATTGAGCGACCAATTTGAAGCATAAGTCGAAGATTTAAAGAGCTAGATACACAGATTAATAATAGTTCACTTTTTGGTCAGTTTCTGCGATTCCCAACAAATGCAAAAAGATTTTCGATATCTCTTGCCCCTTTATATCGATAAATATCGATTTTGAGCACTTAATCTTTAGCACAACTAGGATATTCGAAGAGCTAGATATACGGATTCACAATAGTTCACTTGTTGGTCAGTTTCTCCGATTGCCCACAAATGGGAAAAGATATATGATATCTTCTCCCTCAATCGATATCTCCTGCCCCTTTATATCGATAAATATAAATTTTGCATTATCGATAAATATCGATTTTGCATAATTTGAAGTACAACTTGAAGATTTCAAGCGCTAGATACACAGATTAACGATGGTTCACTTTTTGGTCAGTTTCTGCGATTTCCAACAAATGCAAAAAAGGATTTTTTATATCTCCTCCCTAATTATATCGATAAATATCGATTTTGCGTGCTCAGTGAAAAGCATAAATCGTATATTTTGTGAGCACAGATTCCCCACAAAGGAGAAAACATTCTCGTTATCTCCTCCCCCATTCGAGGGCTTCTCCCTCATTATATCGATAAATATCGATTTTGGGCACTTAATCTTTAGCACAACTCGAATATTTGAAGAGCTAGATAGACGGATTCACAACATCGGGGTATCTCGCAGTCGGACACGGTCTCACTTTTAGTTGTTTTTTTTTTATACCCTTGCAGAGGGTATTATAATTTTGTCGTGAAATGTGTAACGCATAGAAGGAGACATCTCCGACCCCATAAAGTATATATATTCTTGATCAGTATCAACAGCCGAGTTGATATAGCCATGTCCGTCTGTCCGTCTGTCCGTCTGTCCGTCTGTCTGTTTCTATGCGAACTAGTCTCTCAGTTTTAAAGCTATCTTTATGAAACTTTGCAGAATTCCCTCTTTCTGTTGCACGCAGCTCATATGTCAAAACCAGCTGGATCGGACCACTATATCATATAGCTGCCATAGGAACGATCGGTCGAAAAGTAGGTTCTTGTATGAAAAACATTTTTGTTTATAAAGTTATCTTGACTAAACTTTGTATTTATTAGTTTTACTACGCTCCCCATATATATGCAAAATCCTATTAAGATCGGGCAACTATATCATATAGCTGCCATAGGAACGATCGGTCGAAAATTAAGTTTTTGTATGGAAAATTTTTATGTTTTTCAAGATATCTTGACCAAACTCGGTATTTATTAGTTTTACTAGGCTCCCCATATATATGCAAAATCCTATTAAGATCGGACCACTATATCATATAGCTGCCATAGGAAAGATCGGTCGAAAATTAAGTTTTTGTATAGAAAATTTTTATGTTTCAAGATATCTTAACCAAACTCGGTATTTATTAGTTTTACTACGGTCCCCATATATATGCAAAATTCTATTAAGATCGGACAACTATATCATATAGCTGCCATAGGAACGATCAGTCGAAAATTATGCTGTTGTATGGAATTTTTTTGTTTTTCAAGATATCTTGACCAAACTCGGCATTTATTAGTTTTACTATGCTCCCTCCACTTATGCAAAATCTTATTCACATCGGGCAACTATATCATATAGCTGCCATAGGAACGATCGGTCGAAAATTAAGTTGTTGTATGGAAACCTGTTTTGTTTTTCAAGATATCTTAACCATACTCGGCATTAACTATTTTCCCTGTGCTTCTTAGATACGGGCAAAGCACTATGAGCATTTTGAAAAGGTTGGGTCTGCAAGGGTATTAAATCTTCGGTGTGCCGAAGATAGCACTTCTTTCTCGTTGTTATTTGAATTTGATTTTCATGCTCAGGTTCTGTTTGCTGGTTATCATAATAAAAAGAAATGAGTTATTTTTCGAAGGCCGCAGGCAAATCTTAGATTTATAGCTAAATAATAATAAAAGGCAACAAAACCGAAAAGCAAATATTCGTGTTTTCGCATTTTCTCGCCGCTAATTGAAACGCATGAAAATTCCTAAACCAAAAAGGGGGAAAAAAAAAAAGCAATTGAAAAACCAAAACAAACCGCACCACATGTTCTGGAATTCCGACGTTGACCCGCCGCGTGGGCACCACTGTGCGCCGCCGGGTGACAGCAGCGGGGCAAGGAGAGTGGTAGGTGGAGGGGGAGGGGGAGGGGGAGTAGGGGGTAGGCAACGGGCCTGGTCTGCGTTGCGTGTTCCGCGCCTATTTTTAGGCCACGGCAGCTCGCTGCGGCGCGACCTATAAATAAACGCCAAATACAACCAAATATTCCCAGCGAAATGTCGCCCCCCCCGCCTGCCCTGCCCAGCCACAAACCGACTCCATGTCCATGCCACATGCCACATGCCACATGCCACAAGTCGCAAGAATTCCCGCAACACAATTGCGCGGATAATTTAAGTTCTTTTTTTTCTATCTATATCGAGGCATTTGCGGTTCTGATTACATTTATCAAAATAAACACAAGTTCTCTTTATAGTTAACTATAAAGAAAAAAGATTTAAAAAATAAATAAATCAACTAAGAAAGCTGCGGTCGGGAGTGCTCGACTAGCAGCTACCCTGCACCCAGCGATGAGCTGTCTTATGGCTGTGCTTCGGCCTTGCCCAGCTCCATTTTACGGTGAAAACTTTCTGGAGTAACTTGAGTATTCATGGTCCTATTTTTATGAAATTTTCCAAGGCGCTACCTTTAAAAATGAGTGGGAACGAGGTGATATATCCAAAAAGTGAAATATCCATTAGCTGTGTATACTGTTAGCGCACTTGCACACCAAGTTTGGCGTCCCTAGCTCTTATAATCCCCGAGTTATGCTTAAACGATAAAGAAGAGCTTCGGCACGCCGAATATTTAATACCCTTGCGGACCGAACCTTTTCATAATGCTTTTCTCGTATCTAAGCAGCACAGAGAAAATATTTAATGCCGAGTATGGTTAAGATATCTTGAAAAACAAAAAGTTTTGCATACAAGTATCTACTTTTCGACCGATCGTTCCTATGACAGCTATATGATATAGTCGTTCGATGTTGATAGGATTTTGCATATATATGGGGCGTATCTTAAAACTAATAAATGCCAAGTTTGGTTAAGATATCTTGAAAAACAAAAAAGTATTCCATAGAACAACTTAATTTTCGTCCGATTGTTCCTATGGCAGCTATATCATATAGTGTCTTGATGTTGATAGGATTTCGCATATATATGAGGAGCATAGTAAAACTAAAAAATGTCGAGTTTGGTCAAGATATCTTGATAAATAAAAAATTTGTTCATACAAGAACCTACTTTTTGATAGATCGTTCCTATGGCAGCTATATGATATAAAGGTCCGATCCATCTGGTTTCGACATATGTACTGCGTGCAACAGAAAGAGGGACTTCTGCATAGTTTCATGACGAAACTGGGAGACTAGTTCGCATAGAAACAGACAGACTAACGAACGGAGAGACGGACAGACTTAAGGCCGGACGGACGGACGGACGGACAGAGGGACAGACGGGCATGTCTATATCGACTATATCGGCTGTTGATACTGATCAAGAATATATATACTCTATGGGGTCGAAGATGGCGCCTTCTATGCGAGAGAAGATTAAAGTAGCCTCTGCATGGGTATAAAAGGCATGTCTCAAAATCGATATTTATCGATAATTTTCAAATGGAAGCAGATATCGATTAAAGTGCTTAACTGTTTATGTATATAGAGTATATATATAATATATTAAATATGTAGTCTTTAACTCGGAACGAGTCAGCTCGTCGTCTGCCAGTTGCATACACTTGCACAAAATCATGATACTCTCGCTCACCATTTGCAGGGTATAACAATATTTGCTATATTTCAGCGAGCAGATATTCTACACGCAGTTAATATCACTTAATATCCAAACGTAGTCAAACTCTCAGCTTGCAAGTGAATCTATGTGCAGCAGCTGGGCAGCTGGGCAGCTGGGCAGGTGGGCAGGTGGGCAGGTGGGCAGCTGTTGGTTGTGGGGCGGCGGTTAGTCTGGCATTTAAATTGTTAACTGAAAACTGGCAACGTGGCCAGTTGTTCACCTGTTGAGGCGGGCACGCGCTGCCCCCGTTGAGGCATTTGGCGTTGAGTGTCTTTTAATTGCCAGCTGTTGACAGGCAGCGACTACACCCCCCCCCCCCCCCCCCTCCACCACGACTGCCATTCCCTTGGCTGCAGATTGGGCCATCGGGGGCCCGTTGTGATTAATGAGTCGAACCGGAACATGGCAGAGCAATTAGAATACAATTAGCAGGGAATGTGGCCACTAATGAGCGCACTTTTGCAGAGGCGCCAGCACAAACAACAGGCCAAGGCTCAGGCCAAGGCACAGGCACAGGCTCGCGTCCAGGCGAAGGAGTCGGAGCTGGAGTCGGAGTCGGTGCCGGCGTTTCGCGTGGCGCACTCGGAACTGTTTGGACGCTATTTGGTGGCGAATCGTCAGCTGGCGGCGGGCGAGCTGCTCATCACCGAGCAGCCGCTGGCCATCGGGCCCTGCGTCAGCTGTGAGCCCGTCTGCCTCGGCTGCTATCGCCCCGTCCAGCTGACGGTGCAACAATATCGCTGTCCCGGCTGCGGCTGGCCGCTGTGCGGCGCTAGCTGCCGCGGCCTGCAGCAGCGACGCCATGGCCACACGGAGGAGGAGTGTGGCATTTATGGGAAGCGACGCTGGCTGGCCGCCGAGCTGCTGGGGGAGAGCGCCACGCCCGACCAGGTGCGGGATCTGTACGAGCTGGTGCTGATCGTGCGGATCGCGCTGCTGCGCCACCTGGCGCCGGATCTCTATGCGCAGATCCGGCGCATGGAGTCGCACACGGCGGCGCGGCGCGAGAACCCGACTCTCTGGCAGCACTACGAGCAGAAGGTGGTGCGGCGGCTGCGCGACGACTGGCAGCTGGATGTGGAGGCGGCGGAGCTGCACGAGATCTGCGGCATCTTGGACGTGAACTGCTTCGAGATTGGGCAGCGCGGCGCCAAGGCGCGCACTCTGTATCCGAGCGCGTTCCTGCTCGCCCACGACTGCAGCCCCAACACGGCGCACACGGATGATCCCGCCAGCTATGCCATTCTGTTGCGCACATCGCGCGTCGTACGCGACCAGGAGCCCCTCACGCTCAGCTATGCGTACACGCTGCAGGGCACATTGAAGCGGCGCAGCTTCATCCAGGGCGGAAAGCTGTTCTGGTGCCAGTGCCAGCGCTGCGCCGATCCCCGTGAGCTGGGCAGCGACTGCAGCGCCCTCGTCTGCAAATCCTGCCAGCTGGGCAGCATGCGAGCCACCTCCCCGCTGGACCAGAGCGCCGACTGGGCGTGAGTAGATCCCGTTCCCGATCCCGATCCTTCCGTGCAAACCTTGCCTAATCCACGCTCTCTTTCAGCTGCGATCGCTGCGCTCATCGCCTCGGCGCTGTCCAGCTGGAGCGTCTCTTGGACCGCATCAATGACGATCTGGAGTCCATCGATGTGCACGACATTCCCGCACTGGAGAACTTTCTCGTACGGTGAGATATTCAATATCATCCAAAAGTATAATCATTCGCACTCTGATCATAAAGAAATTTTGAATATAGCCGGAAGATACTCTCTATTGCTTATATTCCAAATTTCAGAAACTCTTCTCTTTAATTCTCTGAGTTATTTGATATTAAAAATTCATGTGAAAGTCTTCACTGAACTATTATTACCCCTGTAAGTTCATTTAAACTCTTCTCCTTTATTCACACTCTGATCATAGGGAAATTTGGAATATACTTGGATGATACTCTCTAACGTTTATATTCCGAATTTCAGAATCTCTTTTCATTGATTCTCTGAGTTATCTGGTATTAGGAAATATATTTCCTCTGTAAGTTCTTAACTAACAATCTGATAATAAGGAAATTTGGTATGTTACTAGAAAATACTCTTAATTAATTGTATACCAAATTTCATAATCCTTGAAACTCTTCTCCTTTATTCACTTTCTGATCATAGGGAAATTTGGAATATACTTGGATGATACTCTCTAACGTTTATATTCCAAATTTCAGAATCTCTTTTCATTGATTCTCCAAGTTATCTGATATTAAAAAGTCATGTGAAAGTCTTCATTGAAACTATTATTATTTCCCCTGCAAGTTATTTAATTACAATCTGATTGTAAAGAAATTTGGAATATAACTAGAAAATACTCTTAATTAATTGTATACCAAATTTGATTATCCAGTTTTAAAAATTCTCTGAGTTATCTAATGTTAAAAAAACATTCTCAGTAACAATCTGATTCTTCCTTTGCATTGCCGTGCGCAGATGTCTGTTCTACCATCTATTCCCACAGAGTGCTTCTTGATCTAGCTCAAAGGCTTAGCTGCAGACTCTTAGATCTGTTCTTATAGAGTGCTTATTGAACTCAGGATCTATCGAGGATAGAACCAATAAATTTGGTAGATGGGTTAGCAAATGTTTAACACGCAGCCATCTTTGATTATGTGGTCGAAAAGTAGCTTGAACATTTTAAAAAGATTGAAAGATAAATCGTTGCACATACATTTGCTCTTAAGCTTAAGGGAGTCAAAGGGGCAGTCAAAGGGTTGTCTGAACTTCGAACAAAACTTGATCGGACCTGGTTGGCTTACTTGTAGGTACCGCGAGGTGCTGCGTCCGAATCACTACCTGCTGCTGTCTGCCAAGTACTCGCTGTGCCAGACCTATGGCCGGATCGAGGGCTATCTGCTGCCGGAGTTGTCGCCAGAGGATATAGAGCGCAAGGAGCGCTACTGTCGCGAATTTCTGGCTGTCATCGATCTACTGGAGCCGGGTCTAACCCGTCTGCGTGGTGAGTTCTGGACTCAACTGCAAATTTCTAGCACTACAATTCGTTTAACTCTTCACTCGCAGGGCTCATCATGTACGAGCTGCATGCCCCGATTATGGTGCTCGCCCAGCTGGGCATGCAGACCGGCCAGATGTCGCGCCAGGAGTTCCAGAAGCGCATCAAGGAGGTCGTCAAGCTGCTCAAGGAGAGCGCCCACATTTTACAGCTCGAACCACCCGGTTCCAGCGAGCACGAAATGGGTCGAGCCGCCGCCGATGCGCTCATCAAAATGGGCTGTTAAAACTCGAAGACAACCCATCTATAGATATACTTAGCCTTGTGTGCCCATGCATATTTATTGTTGTGGTCCATCCGAACTCGACTCTCGGCCGAGCTGTCCCCATGGAACTTGGTCCAAGTCCTACCCATACCAGCAGCTGGCTTTAAAATCCATTTCGGCTGGATTACTGTACTATATGATATAGTATAACACTATTGAAAAAATCCATCCCAAGTTCTGTTCTAGTGAAACTGTTTTTTTTTTTTTTTTGGTTTTACTTAACTAACATAAGGTTGTATAATCAAAGTTCTATATTATAAAGCTACCATAGAATTAATTAATCATAGAATTTATAGCTCAAGAACAGACTTTTATTCTGTAGAATCTTATCTTTAGAACTGCTTGTAAAAACTGTTATACGCTGTGTCAATTAAATGTGGTGTGAAAAGTTAAAATGAAGTGGCAAAGGTTTGGTTTGATGGGTAAAGGAAGACATGAGAGCCACAAACTGAATCCGTTTTCTATGAAAACGATATATTTTAGCTGAAAAGTATCGATTAATCGATGTCTAAGCGATTTTGTCCAGATGACCAGATGATCCAGAGAATACGGAAACATAGTCTCGTATATCAAATGAATTTATTTCTTTAATTTATTTATTTGTTAGATAGTTCCACTCACTTCTTGCGCCCAAAATAATCCTATTCGTAGCACATGTTTCTTTTGCATATCTGAAGATTTATAGATAAGAAAGACACCAAATGAGAGACTTGAAACTCGAAATAGATATTCTTCAATCATGACTTATAGTCTAATTCCACGGTCAACATTTCTTACATTTTTTGCGAATGTGAAATATGCTGCCATATCCCATAAGATTCAAATTTGCCAAAGATGTTGGTATTCGCCCCGAGTAATTCGTGTGATTGGCGATGATTTATCGAATTTCGTATCGATGTTATACCATTCACATGTTACCGACAAATGGCACTTGCCAATAGAATCGCAGAATGTGAACCTTGTAAATGTAACATATTTTCAGCAAAGTGGCTATTAATCTTTTCTTTCGCTATCTGCGCCCTCCTTATATCGATAAAAATCGATTTCAGATTAATGCATAAATCGAAAAGTAAAGATAAATTAAGGTTTAAGGTTTTCGTAGAGGATCTCCTCCCCGCACTTTCCCCAGGAATTCAAATCAACAATATATATGTATATATATAGAATATATGATATTCAAACGTTGAGCCTTGTTCACACTTCCTTATGCCATATTCAAGACCTGAAAATATCACAAAGATCGGACAACGAACTTAATGAAGAACACATTTCTTGTGGATAGCGTATGGGTTAAAGGCAAGAAGAAGCACAGTCTCTGCTGTGTTCAGGGTATCTTCTAGTCGGGCAAATAAGCCCAACAGCTGCTGTAAGCCCATATACCCAGAAGAAGCCTCGCACTGAGCGGAGCGAGGGAGGATTGCAAAACTTGACAGAAGGCAACAATTTTTAATTAGCCAACATTTCGCAGGGACTCGTCCTATTATCTCTGGTCCTCAATGTTGCCAGGCAAATCGAAAATGCTGAAACTGTAATCTGCGACGTCTTTTGTTTTTCTTTTTGCCTGTGCTTTGGCTTTGTGTTCGCTTTTTATGAAGAATGCAATAAAAAAAAAAAAAAAAGCGCAAAACTTTCAGCTCAGCTCAGTTCAGTTGAGTTCTATTCAGGGTTCAGCTGAGAATCCTTGTCCGGCTAATTGCGCCCCGAAACGGAAACGGAAACGGAAAAGGCGACGGAAACTCGAAGCGACAACAGTGCAACGGAAATGGTCAGACAAGTCGCTGATGCCTTCCCTCCCCTCCCCTCCCCTCCCCTCCCCGCTCCACCCACCCAACAAGCTTCCCATCACTTTTGCAGTTGCCATTGATAGTTGACAGCAAGTTGAACTCTTATCGCAATGTTAATTAATGCATATTTTTTTGACGCCGCTTTCAATGCGATGGCAACACAACTTCTCCGACGACCTGGCAACGCCCACGGCCCTAAGCCCAACACCCAGCTGGCAACACTGGCGAGCTGTTCTCTCTCTCTCTCTCTCTCTCGTTCTCCTCTCTCTCTCTCTCTCTCTCTCTCTATCTGATAGTTGACAGCAAGTTGAACTCTTATCGCACTGTTAAGTAATGCATATTTCTCTCCGACTTCTCCGACGACCTGGCAACGCCCAAGGCCCTAAGCCCAACACCCAGCTGGCAACACTGACGAGCTGGTCTCTCTCTCTTTTAGTTTTTTAACTGCTTGTCAAGTGGCTGTCATTAGTCTGTCAACCATAGCTTTCACCTAAGTTTAAGATATTCCATTTAATAACATATTACGTATATTGCTTAACTTCTAATTTCGTGATTTCTCTTGGGCGCTTGTTTAAATTGTTATACTTCATTTTTATAACAAAAAAAAAAACAATTCCCTTAACTTTTGACAAAAGTTTCGATTAGATATCATTTCAAATGTGTACTATAGAAATAGAAATTCCCTAAAACTGTTTTCTTTCTTATGGTTCTTATTTATTTTACATTTGCAGTTAAATAGGATATTATATGTTTGTCAATGTGTTAATCATAGAAGCAGATGACTCACAAAATATATAATAAAGTATACCTAAATAAATTTATAAAATATATTTAATCATATGACAACAGAAGGTTCGCTATAGCCATGCTCCCCTGTCTACTTGCATATTGCCAGGCAAACAGAACTCTCAGCTCTAAGGCTCAACTTGCATAAAACTGTGCTTCTCTTGCAGTCGGTCAATATGTTGGATCGGAACACTATATAGTCGCCATAGGAACGATCGGTCGAAAATGTATATAAAACCTTTTTAAAGCAACCCTTGTCAGCATCGGATGAATATAGCAATACACCAAACTTATGCATAATAAGCCTCTCGTTTAGTATACACAGGTTGAGAATATCTCAGTTATGTTTGGCTACGTAATTCTATTCCCCTTAAATTAAAAAAATAACGAGAAAGAAGGGTTATCTTCGGCACGCCGAATATTTAATACCCATGCAGACCCAAACTTTTCATAATGCTCGTATCTAAGAAGCACAGAGAAAATATTTAATGCCGAGTATGGTTAAGATATCTTGAAAAACAAAAAGTTTTTCATCTACTTTTCGACCGATCGTTCCTATGGCAGCTATATGATATAGTCGTTCGATATTAATAGGATTTTGCATATATATGAGGCGTATCTTAAAACTAATAAATGCCAAGTTTGGTTAAGATATCTTGAAAAACAAAAAAGTTTTCCATAGAACAACTTAATTTTTGTCCGATCGTTCCTATGGCAGCTATATGATATAGTCGTTCGATGTTAATAGGATTTTGCATATATATGAGGCGTATCTTAAAACTAATAAATGTCGAGTTGCGTCAAGATATCTTGATGAACAAAAAAGTTTTTCATACAAGAACCTCATTTCGACCGATCGGTCCTATGGCAGCTATATGATATAAATGTCCGATCCAACCGGTTCCGACTCATGTACTGCGTGCAACAGAAAGGAGGACTTCTGCAAAGTTTCATGACGATAGCTTTAAAACTGAGGGACTAGTTTGCATAGAAACAGACAGTCGGACATGGATATATCGACTCGGCTGTTGATACTGATCACGAATATATATACTTAATGGGGTCGGAGATGTCTTCTTCTATGCGTTACACATATCAAGACAAAATTATAATACCCTCTGCAAGGGTTTCATAAAGGTATAGCCTTGCGCTTTGGTATCAACACACATTTGGATGCCTTTTTAAAGCCATTAAAGTTTCATAAAGATCGGACTATAAGCGCCGAGCTAAGGGAAGAAAGAGCAGGGTACCTCCTATTCGAGCATTCGCGACTAAATCGCTCGTAATTGCTTTAATAAATGCAATCTATATTTACCTAAAAATCGTTTTTCTAATTAGAAAATTGTATCTCTAATGTGAATCAATATTTTTCAATTATTTCAAAAGATTATTAAAATAATGATATCTGTTCTATTAGAATAGGATTCATCTCTGACTTTGCTTCGCCAGCCTACCCCCGTCTCCTTCTATTTACTGCTGCTATATCTAAGACATAACTCATCTTCCAATTGGATTTATTCCAATTTCATGTAAGCTGTCTGTCTGCAACAGGTGGATAACTGTTTAATGCAGTGCTTATTCAGTTACAAAGCTGCACCGGAAACGGAAACGGAACGATAGTCATCATAGAAGACAGAACGAAGTCCAGGCAGGCACACACACACACACACACACAGTTACATACACTGAGCATGTGGTTATAAAATGCAAAGGAAAAACATTCATAAGAATGCGAGGCAGTTCTTTATTTCATAATAATTGTGTGGCAAGCAACAGCAACAACAACAACAACAATAACAATAACGAAAACAAGAACAATAATAATAATAGCAAAGATGCACAGCTTAGATAAAGTCACACAAAGATTGAGATACATTTCGGGTTGATATGCAGATGCAGAGATGCACATTTCGCCGTAACAAGTGTCGGACGGAACATTCGAGCGCCTGTCGGCTGTGCAACTGCGTCTTGAGGGCGTTGGCTTTGGTGATGAAGAGACGAGGGGTGGGTAGGGGAGTTATGGGTTGATGGGGAAGGTGTTTGGGCGGTGTTTGTATCAAAATTGCGTTCATTGATACAAACATGCAAAAAAATACCCAGGGAGACTCTGTGCAAGACTTATGCAAATCAATTTACGCAGCGCCAAAGCATTTATCCATTTTCTTCCAAGAGCGAAGAGTATTACAAGAAAGAGAGGGAGGAAGAAAGAGCGAGAAGGAGACAGAGAGATAGAGAGAGAGAGAGAGAGGGAGATAGTTTGGTTAAACTAATTCGCTAGCACCTTCTTTAGGAAGTACTTTCTCATCTCAGAAGAACTCTTGAGTACTCAAAAGAGATAAGAGATAAGTTCAGAAGAGAGGAAGAGAATGAGAGAGCGAGAGAATGGGAGCGAGTGCGAAGAGCAGCGTATATTTTTTTTGAGTACCTTCTTAAACTCCTTCTTTAGGAAGTACTTTTTCATGCCAAAAGAACTATCTTATACACAAATGAGATAACTTGTGAAGAGAGGGCGAGAATGGAAGAGAGAGAGTGCAAGAGCGAAGAGAAGCTGAAATTTTATGTAAGTACCTTCTTAAATTTTATTTGGGTACCTTCTTATAGCAAGAAAGAAAGGGAGAGGAAGAGAGAGAGAGAGAAATGGAGAAAGAAATATATTCGCTAACACCTCTAAGAAGTACTTTTCCATGCCTAAAGAAATACTCTATTTAATTAACTCTCTATGCTACCCGCTGCCCTCTTCTTCTAATATTTTGCAATCGCTGACCTTGGAGAATTATATATAAAGTGATTTTTTAAGGAGAGAGTAAGATGGTGATAGAAAGAAA